CTCCCCTCGCTCGGTGCTGACCCCGACACCCCCATCTCTCCCCAGTACGAGCGGGGATCCGCTACCAACTACATCACCCGCAACAGGGCGCGGAAGAAGCTGCAGCTGAGCCTGCCCGACTTCAGGTGCGCTTGTGACCCCCCCTGGATCCCCTGAACCCCCCCCAAGCCTCTCCCCGGACCCCCCTCCAGGACGAGCAGTAGGAGATTGAGCCCGTGGTGGGTGCGTGGGGTGGCCTTTTCCGTAGGGAGTGGTGGCGGTGTCCTGAGGTTTCAGGCTGTTGAGTTTTGGGGTTTCCCACCCCTCCCGAGGGGTGGGAGCACCGGAAGGAAAGGGTCCCGGGGGTGTGGGTGTTCTGCTTTTGGGTGCACAGATGCTGCGTGTCTCACCCTCGTTGCCATTACCAGGCGCCTCTGCATCCTGAAGGGGATTTACCCCCATGAGCCCAAACACAAGAAGAAGGTGAACAAAGGCTCCACCGCAGCCAGGACCTTCTATCTCCTCAAGGATATCAAATTCCTCCTTCACGAGCCCATCGTCAACAAATTCCGGGAGTATAAGGTAATTATCCTGCACGAGACCCCCGGGGTGGTGTCCAAGGGGCTGCTCGAGGCTCATCCTCTCCTGCAGAGCCCCTGGCCTCCCCCTCTCCCTGCAGGTGTTTGTCCGGAAGCTCCGGAAGGCGTATGGGAAGAGTGAGTGGAGCACCGTAGACCGGCTGAAGGACAACAAACCCAGCTACAAGCTCGACCACATTGTGAAGGAGAGGTGAGCCGCCGGCCGAATCCCAGCAGAGCTGTCCTCTTTTAAGGGAGGAGCTTTTCCTGCAGCCACCTGGACGTGTGGAGCCTTTGCCGTGTCTGTCCCTCTGTAGGAATCCACCTCCCGTATATATTCTGGGGGTTTTGACAGAAACCAGTGTTTCTGGGCTGGAGGAGAAGGCTGTAGCGTGCTGCACGCTGGCTGCAGCAAAGCATGAGTGAGCAGGGAGTGCCTGGGTGTCCTAGATGTCTCCAGGATCTCCAGGAAGGTGCAGAGCCTTGGAGGGAGGGACGGTGGAGGGTGAATCACGCCAACAGAGTTGGTGAATTTGGTGGCAGTGAGAGAGGAGAGGACCCAGGAGGGAGGGAACCTGCTCTGGCAAGTCTGTCTGTTGTCCCGGTGGTGTCCAGGACCTCACTGTGCTGGGAGAAACAGCACCGAGAGGCAGGCACTGCCCCAACAAGCTGCGTGCTCAGGAGGGGAAATGGTCTGGGCACCTGGCGGCCACGCTGCCACTTGAGCTGTGGGGCTGTGCGGTCTCCCTCTGACTGCCAGCGCTTGAGTCCTGCAGCTTTCATCCGGGCTTTGTCCCTCTGGCCGAGCAGTACCACGTGCTGGTGTGCTGCACCACAGGCCACAGGCACGCTTGTTCTCGGTGGGTCCAGGCTGGGATTCCCCAACACTCAGTCCTTGCGGGTGCCCTAAAACCTGTTTTCACCCACTTTGTAATCAAGGGTGTTGCCATCCCCTCGCCAGGGAGGTTCCTGGCTCCCCAGAGAGCCCTGAACCCTAGGGAGCTGCTTGGAGCTCCCTCTGTGACTGTGGGCTCCCCGGTGCCCAGGAGGGACACCCCATCCCCGTGAGTCGCTAGCTTTGGTGGGACCTGTGGGAGATGGATGCTCCATGGTGCCCGCTCCTGTCTCACTTGAGGTCTCCATCAGCCCCAGCAGCTTTTGGTGGACGCTGGGGCTGGATGTGATTCTCCCTTCTCCTGCCCGGGCACAGGTACCCAACCTTCGTAGACGCGCTGCGGGACCTGGACGATGCCCTCTCCATGTGCTTCCTCTTCTCTACCTTCCCACGGACGGGCAAGTGCCATGTCCAAACCATCCAGCTCTGCCGGCGCCTAGCCGTGGAGTTCCTCAACTACATCATCGCCTCCCGCTCCCTGCGCAAGGTGGGTGCTGCAGGGAGGGACGGGGCCAAGACCTCCCTGCCCCGGGGGGGCTGTGGAGGCGGGGATGGTGGACTTGTGCCCCAGGAGGGCACCGGGCCAGCTGTGCTGACAGCTTCAGATGGGGAACGAGTCCTGCTGGGACACCTGTGACACTCCCCTGATGGAACGTGCTGATGGGAGAAGGGTTAATGAGGACAGGGACAAGGGAGTATCCGTGGCCTTCCTCCCTCTGAGCCCTTGCTCTATTCCCTGCCAGGTCTTCCTCTCCATCAAGGGCATCTACTACCAGGCCGAGGTGCTGGGGCAGCCCGTCACTTGGATCACCCCTTACACCTTCGCCCACGATGTGAGTACCTGGGAAGAGCGCGGCGGGATCCGTGCGGGACCCGCGCTGCCGCTGCCTCGCTGCTTCCTTCCCTGTGGCTGGGGAAGGATTGAGGGACCGTCCGGTGGCTCTCGCGCTGCAGAGGCAGATGAGGCTGTGGTGGAGACCACGGGGCCCAGCCTGGGAGGCATGCAGGGACACAACCCTCTCCTACCCCCCCGAGATGGCTGTACCTGTGTCCCCTGTGGCTGGCTGTACCAGTCTCCCCGTTTCCTTATTTCCTCGTGTCAATTATTAAAATGTGCCTTAATCAGCAATTAAAGATTAACTTGCAGGAATGGGGCTGGTGGCACTTAGGGAAGAGCCGAGTCAGACCCTGCACCCTGTGCCAGGGTGGGGTAGTTCTGCTGCATCCCCTGTGCAGTCTGGCCAGGTGGAAGGGTGTGCGGAAAGCTGTGGGTGCCACCGTGCCAGGACAGCTGCGCAGCTGCGCTGCACCTTGCCAAGATCCTTGGCAGGCAGGAGTTCACTGTCACAGCAGTGCTCTCTTGTTTTGCTCCTGGGTTTTCCAGGGCTTGGCAGAGTTGGGTTGAGGCTTTCCAGCTTTGTGGCCTTTGGTATGGCCCGTGCTGGGGCTCACCTCCCCACCTCACCCCACACCATCTCCTCGGCCAACCCATGTCCTTCCTGGCCAGCATTACTTCTCACTCCCTTGAGTTCTGGCTGTTGTGGGGCTGACTGGGTCCCTGCCGGGTTTGGCTCCTTGTCCTGCTCTTGTCTGGCTTTGCCACGGCCTGCACTTCTCCCCTGGAGGAGCAGAGTCCCTGGAGCAAGCCAGCAAGGTCCCCATCTGTGATGGGATGAGGTGCTCCATCTGTCCGAGCAGGTCCCTTCACGGAGGGGTGGCAGCGGGGCCCCGTGTAGCAGCCTGGAGAACTCTCTCTGCCCAGGGGCTGGTGGTGGCTGAGGATCTCCAGACCTCACTGTGAAGGGGGCAGGACCCTCCTCCCTGTGTGGATGGGACGGGCTCCTGTCCCTGCAGAGGGGATTCCGGTCCTTTGTCCTTGGGTCCTCAACCCTTCCCATGTGCTTGCAGCACCCCACAGATGTGGATTACCGTGTGATGGCCACTTTCACCGAGTTTTACACCACCCTGCTGGGCTTCGTCAACTTTCGCCTCTACCACTCCCTCAATCTGCTCTACCCCCCCAAGGTGAGGCCACCACCTGCTCTGGGGACATGCCACGCTGGCCTGAGCCTGGTGGGACCGCCTGGCCTGGGTGGTTGGAAGCGAG